CCCCTCCCCCGCGCCGTCTCAGCGCACTCCCCGCGCTCCAGCGCCCGCCCAGTGCCTCCCCTCCGCCCCGACCACTTTATTTCGGCACCGCGCACCCCCTCCCCCGCTCCGCCCCCTCCCCCGCGCCGTCTCAGCGCCCCCCCGCGGCTCCAGCGCCCGCCCAGTGCCCCCCTCCGCCCGACCATTTTATTTCGGCACCGCACCCCCCTCCCCCCGCTCCGCCCTCCTCCCCCGCGCCGTCTCAGCGCCCCCCCGCGGCTCCAGCGCCCGCCCAGTGCCCCCTCCGCCCCGACCACTTTATTTCGGCACCGCCCCCCCCCCCGCTCCGCCGTCCTCCCCCGCGCCGTCTGAGCGCCCCCCCGCGGCTCGAGCGCCCGCCCAGTGCCCCCCTCGCGCCCCGACCACTTTTTTCGGCACCGCACCCCTCCCACCGCTCCGAACCCCATCCCCGCGCCGTCTTGAGGGGGGCGCCAGCGCCCGCCCATTATATTCCGCCCCGACCATTTTTTTGGCACCGCACCCCCCCTCCCCGCTCCGCCTCCTCCCCCGCGCCGTCTCAGCGCCCCCCCCGCGGTTCCAGCGCCCGCCCAGTGCCCCCTCCGCCCCGACCACTTTATTCTCTTGCACAGGGTGTCTAGAGCTCCCACCACTTTATTCCGCGTCGCGGCGCACACCCACCTCCCCCTCCTCACTAGCCACATCACCACCTCCCCTCCCCCAGTAGGGGCCCCGCCTACTGCCCCTTCCGCCACGAACATTTTATTCCGCGTCGCGACGCACCACCTCCCCCACCTTCCCCCCCGCGGCCCCGGCGCCCTAGTCGGCCCCCCGCCCAGTGCCCTCTCCGCCCCGACAGCTTTATCCCGCGTCGCGACGCACACCCACCTCCCCCCGCTCTCCCCCCGCGTCCCCAGCGCCAGAGTGGGATCCCCGCGCCGTGGCTCTCTGCCCCGAGCCCCCCCCCCGCGTCCCCAGCGCGCCAGTGGGGGCCCAGCCCACTGCCGCCCTCCCGCCACGAACATCCGCGTCCGACGCGCGCCGCCTCCCCCCACCTTCCTCTCCGCGCCCCAGCGCCCAGTGGATACTCTCCCGTGCCCCCTCCGCCCCGACAGTTTTTATTCCGCGTGCGCGCGTGGCACGCCACTTACCCCTGCCCCCCCCGCGTCCCCAGCGCCCCAGTGGGACCCCCCCCCCCCGCGTCCCCACGCCAGAGTAGGACCCCCGCGCCGTGGCTCTCTGCCCCGAGCCCCCCCGCGTCCCTGGCGCCCCAGAGGGAGCCCCGCCCAACAGCCCTCCCGCCACGAATACGACGTCGCGTCGCACGCACACCACCTCCTCCCTCCCGCGTCCCCAGCCCAGCCCCTGGGGGCTCCCCACGTGCCCCCCCGCCCCGACAATTTTATTCCGCGTCGCGACGCGCGCACCCACCTCCCCCCCCCCAGCGCCCCAGTTGGACCCCCGCCCCGTGGCCCTCTGCCCCAAGCCCCGCCTAGTGCCCCCTCCGCCCCGACCATTTTATTCCGCGTCGCGACGCACACCACCTCCCCCCCCCGCGTCCCCAGCGCCCCGGTAGGAGCCCAGCCCAGTCACCCCGAGCCACCCCGCGTCCCCAGCACTCCAGTAGGAACCCCGCCCACAGCCCCCTCCGCCACGAACGTTTCTTCCGCGTCGCGACGCACACCACCTCCCCACCTCCCCCCCGCGTCCCCAGCGCCCCAGTCCTGCCCCCTCCGCCCCGGCAGTTGTATTCCGCGTCGCGACGCACACCACCTCCCCCACCCCCCCCGCGTCCCGCGCCCCAGTGGAACCCCCGCCCCGTGCCCCTTCCGCCCCGAGCATTCGATTCCGCGTCGCGACGCACGCCATGTCCCCCCCCCCCTCCTTCCCGCGTCCCCGCCGCCCCAGTGGGCGCCCGCCCCGTGGCCTTCTGCCCACTATTTTATCCCGCGTCGCGGCGCACACCACCTCCCCCTTCCCCCCCCCGTCCCCTGCGCCCCAGCGCCCCCGTGGGACCCCGCCCCGTGCCTCTCCCCCACGACCAGTTTATACCGCGTCGCGACGAACACACACCTCCCCCTCCTCTCCGCGCCCCCAGCGCCCCAGTTGGACCTCCGCCCCGTGCGAGCACTTTATTCCGCGTCGCGACGCACGCCACCCCCCCCTCCCCACCTGGGGTTTGGGCCACGTTGTTGGGCCCCGAGGGGCGATGTCTTGCCCCCTCTTCCCTCCTCCTCCTCCTCCTCCTCCTTCTCCACCTCCTCCTCCTCCTCCTCCTCCTCCTCCCCCTTCCTTCGTGTGCAACAGCCATGGCACACGTGCCACTTGTTTTATTTTTCGTCGAATCCTCTGTAGTGGGACAGGCCCGACTTAATCCTAGGGAATCGAACTCTATACACCGACGCTTCTTCCCGCCCTGCATCAGAATTTGCACTGGAGAGCGGATCTTGGCGTATACGGGACACTGGTGTGGACATTTTTCGTCGTTTCCACGAGGCATCGGGGGAAAAAGTATACACCAGACCACCCCTGCGTCGTCCTCGACCCTCAAGAAATCCTGGGATTGAAAAGCGGCCCGCCACTGGTAATGTATACGCTCCAGTTTCCGAAGCTTCCCCTGCCATCTAGGCCTCCCAGATGAGGTCGGAGTTCATGGGGTCCGAGGATCGCGCCGCATCGCCGATGCAACGCCGATGCGGCTCGATGTGCAGCCCGCTGTGCTTCATGTCAACGTCCCCGATGCATCGCCGACGTCGACGATGCATCGCCAGTGCATCGCCGATACATCGCCGATGGTGCATCGCCGATACATCGCCGATGCGTCGCCGATGTATCGCCCACGTATCGGCGATGCGGCGCGATCCTCGGACCCCATCTACTCCGACCCCATCTAGGAGGCCTCTATGCCAGGCGTAAGTCGGGCCTGTCGGGGGACGATTGTTTGACTATGTTTAATTTTTCTTTGGAGGGGCGTATTTTTGGAGTATTTTTAATTTTTCATCCAAAATCCGCCTGTAGGGGGACATGCCCGACCTGATGCCCTGCCGCGGCGCGCGCCTCCCATTTCGCCCCGTCCTCCTCCTCCTCCTCCTCCTCCTCCTCCTCCTCCTTCTCCTCCTCCGGCCCCCTCCCCCTCTGGGGGTGCTTGTTGCCTGCGGCGAGCAACGGCCGCTCCTGGGGAACCTGGCGCGGAGCGTTGACGCGCCAGCGCTCCACTGACGTGTGCTTGGAGCGCCCTCGGTCCAGGGATCAGGGGCAATGTCCGGGGGGGAGAGGCTCTGGGGGGTGATGCATCGACCCCCAATCGCCCTTTGATCGCCGATAGGGGCCCGATAGCCCAGCCCTTCCAGGAACGCGTGGCCTTGCCATCGAGGGCCCATCGCCGAGCGATCGGCGATGTTCCGCCGATTCCAGGCCGATGTTCTCCCCCTGTGCTTGGCATCGCTCGGACGTGTGCTTTTTTTCCTCGGCGAGGACCATCGAGGACCATCTTCATCATTGGGGGAAAAAACCACGCACGAAACCGAACAAAAACACAGGGAATGGACGTCCGAGCGATGGCGAGCTGTGCCGGTTCCCTCCCATCGTTGTCCCTCGGCTGCCTGCCGCGAGCAACGGCCGTTCCCGGGGGGCCGGCGCAGAGCGTTGACGCGCCAGAGCTCAGCTGCAGTGCTTTTGGAGTGCCTTCGGTCCGAGGCACTGGGGACAATGTCCGGGGGGGGATCCCCAGTCGCCCATTCTCAGCCACGCGCAGAGGGGGGTGGGGGGTGGGGGGAGGGCTTCTTAGAAGCACCCCTGCTTCTTAGAAGGCGCGGGCCTTCTCTATAAATGTAAGGCCGGCGCCTTCTAAGAAGCAACCTCCTTCTAAGGAGCCCTCCCCCTCCCCCCACCCCCCTTGTGCGCGCCGCCGACATTCATCGCCGACGAGGGGCCCGACACGGATCTCGGGGGCGTCTCGCCGCTCCCGCGGCGATGCATCACCGATGCGGGCTCGATGCCTTTCCCCCCTTGAGCTGGCCCCCCGCTGACGTTGCCCTTCGCTTCGGTCCCAGGGAGGAGGGCGAGGAGAGCTTTCTTCGGGGCTGGACAGAACCCCCAATAGTGACACGTCGATTAGTGGATTGTCCGTTTTCGGTTCTCGAGAGGGCGCCGTGGCCGTCAGTTTCCAGGCTTTCGCCCGCCAGATTTGGGCCCGAGGTCGTTTTCACTAAACCACGTTTTGCTAAAGGGGGTTCTGTCCATCCCCGATTTCTGGTTGGATCGACGTCCGCTGCCGGAGAGCCGCATCACAGGCCCGTCCATGCCGCTCAGACCTGCCGTGAGACCCCGTGCCTCTCTGGGCGGAGCCCCTTCTTCTCAGAGCTCGCCCCGAACCTCCTGCCTGCGAGCATCAGAGGAAGCCCAGGATTTTTCCTTGGCGTCATTTCCACGTGTGAGTGCCGCTTTGCCGCGCCCTTCCGTGCCAGGCGCCCCGGCGCCCCCCCCCCCCGCTTGGCCTTCCCGGCGCCCCCCGCGCGGAGCCGAGCCCGAGCCCGAGCCCGAGTCCAGGAGCTCTTTGCACCCGGGCTCGTGCTCGGCATGGGCCCCCCACGCCACGCAGCTGACGAGGGCGAGGAGAGGAGGGGGAGGGAGTCCAGGAGTTCTTTGCACCCTGGGTCGTGCCCGGCATGGGCCCCCCACGCCACGCAGCTGACGAGGGCGAGGCGCGGAGGGGAATGGGAGTCCAGGAGATCTTTGCACCCGGGGTCGTGCTCGGCATGGGCCCCCCCCCTATGCCACGCAGCTGACGAGGGCGAGGCGCGGAGGGGGATGGGAGGGTCCAGGGAGGGAGGGAGCGAGGGCCCAGGGAAGCAGGCACAGGTAGGGAGGAGCAGAGCAGCGAGCAGACAGAGGGGGGGGAGGAGGAGGAGGAGGAGGAGGAGGAGGAGGAGGAGGAGGAGGAGGAGGAGGAGGAGGACGAGGACGAGGACGAGGACGAGGACGAGGCCCGGCCTCCCCGCGAGGCGCCCGCGGGCCCGTGCACGCCGGCGATGCCGCGGAGGTGCTGGAGGCGAGCGGGAG